CAAAAAATTTTTGTACATTTTAACTCTAAAATATATGTAGATTTAAAATAGGTAATAAAAATATGCAATTTTTTAACCTATTTTGAAAAGAAAAAAGTAGACAGTGAGAGGGTTAAGGCATGTTTATTGTTAAAATAAAATTTGTCTGCTGTATTTCATCTATGTAAAAGGAAGTGCTTGCTGGAGCCTTTAAGGCTCCATTGCACTCCAACTAGAATTACAATTTACCTCAGAAATATAGAAGTACTGGAGCCAGGCTAAGGCACAGTTAAAGCACTGGGTGTAAATACATAGCATAGGTGCAGTATGCTCATCGTATGTATGCAAAAATGACATGATCAGATGCACATAAGATATAGAGAGTCATAAAATGGCAGTACTTGCAGATTAGTTTGCATATTATATTACAGTATATACTGCACAACGAGGAAAAGGCAAATATAAATTCAGATAAAGCATCAGAATCATCTGTCTCTCAACACAGCGTGAAATGAGGATAACACAATACAGTAGTTACAAATGAGACGGTAGCTTTGCAAAACAGAGAGTAAACAAAACTGAGTGGGAGAAATACATTTAAACATGTGGCTCCATCTTTTGAGGTGAAGTAATTTAAACTGAAGAGTTCACAATAAATCAATGCTGCTATTATGATGCATAGTTCTTAGCCTTTTAAAAGATGCTCAGTAGTTGGTTGTAGTTTGCAAAGCTTTAAATATGATCCTTGAATTTTGAATCCTTTCAAAGAAATTATGGAATGTAATCAAAATATGGTTCACTACATGTTCAGTTTTAAATCCTCGTGAATTTTTCAGTTTCTGAAAAATCATGGTGCTTTGGTGATGGTCCTTAATATTTTGTTTCTAGAACAACAGGTTTTCATTCTGTGACTTTTGGGGGCAGTCACCCAGACAAGGACTGCATAAAACAGAATTAATTGGTCTCAGTAAGATAAGGTACGGTACAGCTTTTTTTTAAAATCCAGTTGTGATTTCCTGCATATGAGACTATAGATTTGATGTACATGTGAGTAACACATGCATAAGAAAATATCCCTAACATTAACTAGGAAAGCCGAAATCTTAGTTAAGATAGACATGTTACAATTAATAATCAAATTTAATAAGGAAAAGTAACAGTTGTCGGGTACATTATAACGGCTTAAGAAATTCAGAGCACAGTACAGATGCGAGTACACAAGTTCACATATCTCGGAAAAACAGACGCACACATTTGTTGAAGTAGTTCCACTTGACTGCCGGGGAAAGTTCTTCTCTCCCCGTCAGCCTGTAGGTTCGCCAAACAGGTTTACTGTTTCGCCAATTGGCACTTTTCTGTACAGTTTTTAAGTCCGTATCGCCTGTTTGGCGCTGCCGCTGCAGATTGAAATATAAGCTTTATTGGTTTTCTTGAGAGCATAGTCCACATGTTCTTTAAATTTTAATTCATGAACCAAGATAACTCCAATATATTTGGTAGAAATAACTATGGGTATTTGTTGCTCATTAATTTTAATATCAGTGTTGACTGGATGGGATTTTTTATATCTTCTAAAAGGTATTATCCAATATTTAGCAACATTTAATTTAATCCTTCAAAGTTCCATATGCCAAAACGCTATAATATTAATAATGAAGTGGAGGCTATCAATTGAAAGTTGTGGATTTCAAGAGAGAGAGTATAACAGTGTCATATGCATATTTTGCTATTAAACAGTTCAGGCATGTTGTTGACTTATAAACTGAAAAGTATAGTTGCAAGAGACTAAGCCTTGTAGAACGCCATGTGTATTCTTTTCTTTCTGGGGATAGTATCCCTGTTTTTGACCAAAGTCATACCTGTTATGTAGGTATGACTTGATTAATTTGATGTTGATAGGAAGGTGCACTGCATACTTTTTTCCAACAAAATAGGTTAAAAAATTGCATATTTTTTATTACATATTTCGAATCTACATCTATTTTGGCTTTAAAATATATGCAAAAATTTTTTGTGAAAGAGTTTTTTTTTTTTCAATATATAATTAGATCATAGCAAAAGGTTGTCAGAATACTGAAATTGAAGAATAATGATATAAAAAGATTTTGAAAATTAATATTGTTTAAATTATGATTTATTTTATAAAATACAAAGGTATAATGAAAATATTTACATAATGTAATATTTTGCATATCAATTTTGCACCACTGTCGAACTGTTTTCAATAGAAACAGAATTTTCAGATTCATCACTATCTGCAGAGTAATCCGAGAAATGTTCAACAGTTTCGCTATAACTATCTTCAATATACAACTGCCCAGTTGGTATAGTGGTCAGGGAAGCTGACTGCGATGCCGAAGGGCCTGGTGTTTGAATCCTGAAGAAGGCATGGTTGCAATTGTCCGTCCATTCACAGGAAAGGCGATGGTGGCCCACCTATTAAGTGCCTCCATAATAAAGAGACCACCACATCTGGCCTTGTATAGATTAATGGACTGGGCTATATTTGTAATTGTTCACAATCTGCCACTAAAAAAAAAAAAATCTTCAATATATTTGAAATAAGTGTCGGAAATATCGTGAAGTATATAGGTTATATCACTCGCGAAATGCTTCCTGCCAGACATCTTTGAACTCTGAAAAGCATGTGCAAAATGCTATATCATGTATTCTTGTGTATTTGGCAGAAATGTGGACAGCTATCGCCATCTGTTAGCCCACATCTAAATAAACAATTTAACATCACAGAAAAGCCAAAAGGAAATTTTGAACGGGGAAAGAGCGGATTGCACAGTCGAATAGATTGCAAAAGTTCATCCCCGCAATATCGCAGGTTGCGCAAATTTTGCTACTTTTAAGTTGCCTGTGGAAATCGCGGGATGCACAGCGAGAGGGTTAATCTGTAGAGGAGACCTCTAAGCCAGATTTTATCAAAAGCTTTTTTAATGTCTGAGAACCATGGAGCAACTGCCAAAGCATCAGCTATTGTTCCAATGACATTTAGAGTTTGAATTGTAGTAGTGTGTTTTTTACAGAAACTAAATTGATTTTTTTAAGATGTTATTGCTTGAGATATTAATAATCTGTTTTGGAATATATGTTCAAATACTTTTTCATGGTAACAGGAACAATTAATAACATCATACTTCCGTTGCTGAAAATGCAAGCATTGATAATATTGTCAATAAGAATGATATATTCTCTAGGAATTTCTTTTATGACTTTTTGAAATTTGATCAAATCCATGTGCTTTCCTAATATGCATCTTGTGGATAATTTTTCTGATTTGTCTAGGAGAGGATAATTAAATAATATCAGTTTTGTGCATCATCTGAGAAATTTTTTCTATAACATGGAGGTATTCAATATTGGTGCTGGGTTTTGGAGTGAAAGTTTCTTCTAAAACTTCAGGAAATAGATTTGCAATTTCTTCTTCTAATTGAACAATTTGATTGTTTTACTTTTAATTTGATTTATGCTGTCATTTCTGAGGTCTTTTGCAATTTTGCAAATTGTTTTAGTCTTATGTTTCATAAGGTGATTCTACTTTTCGGAGTTGTAATCTTTGATAAATTCATCAAATTTATGTTTAAAGCTAAAAGAAACAAACAAATATTACATTAATTGAAGATACATCACCACTTTGGACCTTCATACAACCTTTACAGCAAACTGCCCATGCTTTCAGTGATGTAATCAGTCATCACAGATGCCAGTAATGGCCACTTCTGTCTTAGGGCAGTTCCAATTGTCTGAAGGAGATAAACATGCCGAGATGTACTTGTTAATAATGTTGGCTTGGTGGATATGGGTGTTTTTGTCCATGAGACAGAAATCAGGACCAACTGCTGCAGCATGGAGTCTCACAATTGGGTGTAGGACTTTATCCCATTACTACACAGCCATTACAAAACCTTCTTTACAGATATACATTTGGATCAAAATTCCAGCTAACAACATGATGCTGACTCTTGTTAATGTGTAATGTTCATGGCCTGATTTCATTGCTTTATGTCAAGGGCACATAAGTGTGCCATTATGTGTCACATGCACATAAGTGTGTCTTCAGACCCTAACACACTTATCTAGTTTCAGAAAAATTTCTGGACCTGTCCATGAAAAGGACATTGAGCCAGTGCAATAGTTAAATTGAAAATTTGACGATGACATTTTAATCTCATCTCTCGGGATTGGGCGGTTAGTGGAACACAAACACTTGTTACTCGAGTGTACAGTCCTGTCCTGTGAAGCCTTTGGCATACAATACAGGCAGATGTTGTCTTACTAAATGACACTGTAACCATAGATGTAACACTTATGGAGCCTGCTTGTTGATTCTGCTTTGCTACTACAGCAATATACCAATCTTCAGAAGGGGTGGTAATCTTTGGTTAACCCAGCATAGATCTCTGGACAACTGTTTTTCTTGTCTGGAATTGAAGAGAAGAGCGACATCTTTGCTTGACTGTCCTGCTTCAATGTACCCTACAGAATGCCAGTGGTCGCTATCTGCCATTTGTCATCTTTCAGCCATAGAAACACAAATATCATCAAAAGTTATCCTTTGAAAGTTGTAAACATGTTGTATCTGCATTTAAAGAAACCTCTTCAAGCCCTTCAATATGCTGGCATCTTCAATGACAGCCTGATTAGCATATATTCAGACAGTCAATCTTGACATATGATATTTGATGTGCAACTGTCATCTGCATACACTGCAATTACCTGCTATTCAAATTCAGTATGCTTTTAAAAATTGCTAATTTGGATTATGTGCTTAAATTTTCGAGGCCAGTATATACATGTTTGAAGTTATGTATACAGAGTTTATGCACTTAAATACCATTAGTACAGTATGTTGCATTGAATTGAGTTTTATTACTTTAATATGATATTTATTTGTATTATTTAAAAATGAAAACTTGAATACTGTATATTATTAAAGGTGTAGTAAAATATTTTTATTGCTGTTATAAATTAAATCTTTCCAGATTTCTAATTAAGTTCCATAATTTCTTCAGAAAAAATGAAAGTGGAGTTTTATCCAATTAAGCAACCAACTTCTAGCTCTCCATGTGGCATTGCGGTAATCATAAACCATGAAAAATTTTATAGAGAAAATGAAAATTTTCCTTTTTTGGAAGAAAGAAAAGGAAGTTTCAAAGATGCTGGTATGTGTAGAGACAATAATGTATTTAGATTATGTATTATTTAAAAATGAAAACATGAATACTGTGTATTATTAAAGGTGTAGTAAAATATTTTTATTGCTGTTATAAATTAAATCTCTCCAGATTTCTAATTAAGTTCCATAATTTATCTAAATATATGAATATATATTTATTATCTATATCCATCTAAATATATGTATGTATATTTATTATATATGTAATATCTATATGTAAGCTAAAGAATACATAAGCAAACTTCTAATTTTAATTGGTTATAACGTCTTTTATTTTTTATTTAATTTGAAGACTTCCTCTATCTTAAAAATAGTGCTGTGTCTATACTGCATGATTCAAATTAATCATGCAATCCTATGTAACGTTTAATGCAGATACCTCTTGCCCAATCACTAAATTATGTATCAAAACATTTTAAGTTGAACTAAAATTTTTGACTCCCTTCCTTCTTCCTCTGAATTGCTGCATCACTTTTTGCTTGCACTTTCCTCCTGGCCAGACGCTCTGCAGTTACCTTCATTGTTCATGGACTATGTGCTGAGCTAACAAAAATGTAGGAAACATAAGACTTGTCTGTATGTGAACCAAATATCGCAGATCCGGAATTGCTTTTCTTAATAATAAAATTATCTTGAAATCTGGCCATGTCTACCTTGCTAGGTTTCTATGCTACGCATCTATTATGCCACCACCAAGTTCCAAATCATTTCATATCATGTCAGTTATACAGTACAAAGTCTGAGATCCGGAACGTCCAATATCTGTAATGATCTAAAATCCGGACATTAAAGCCACCAAGAATTTTTTTTTTGGCATGCTTCACGCATGCACATTTGATTTTCCCTCATAATAAAGCATGCACAGAATCCTGATTCTTAATTTCACATACCTCATTACTCATTACATTTTAGCATAAATTCGTGTGATCAGTAATTTTACTCTGTAGCTGTGTATCTACTTGGCATGCATCTCAAGCTGAAACATTCTACGTAGAAACACTGTTGATTTTACATCAACTAATACTTTATATTCCTGACGCCAACTTGCCACATCATTTATTATATTTTGCTTATCAGCACATGACAACTTGAGTAACAACTTATGGAGTGATGCCTAAGCAGTTTTTTTTTTATATTATTATAACAAATAGTATGGCAACCTTTTATGTTGACATTGCACTTGGTGATGATTACAGATTTAAGTTAAGTGCGCTAAGAAATGTAGACAAAAAATTTTAGCAAAAATTTCTTTCCATATGTTAAAAGTAGATTTTTTTAATGATACTCATAGGCTAAAAGATTACAGTTAGTGCTATTTGAATTAAGAGTAATTGATTAGTTATTCACATAAACCCAGAATCGGCACCAGAGCTTGTATGGCCACACCAGGTGGCAGAATTTAGACAAAATATTTGGAATTTAGAGAAGCAACGAGCAACAAAATTAAGAGATGACAAAATTTTTAGAATTGAGGGAAAGCACTGGGACCCAGAATTTAGGGGTGGCAAAATTTCAGAACTTGGGGAGGTGCTTGGTAGCAGAATTTAGGACCCTCAGGGACTGCATCAGGCTGTAAGATATCTAGTGCAAGCCCTCAATAAGTATATGTGGGAATTTATTTATTCAGGACTCGTGTAAGCCTTAAATATGTGTAAGAAATAAACTTAAGTATAATAAATAACTAAAATAATGCAATTCAGGATTAATTGTCTCGGTGCACAATAGAACAAGACAAAATTTAGTGGAACTATGTGTCTTTCAACACCAATCTCATAATAGCTGATACTGAAACTGCTGAACTATTTACAGATGAATTTATTTAACTAGCTAATAGTGAAACGTTATCTCCAGAACAAATTTACTATGCTGAAGAAACTGGTCTCTTCTGGCAATATTTACCTTGGCAACCTCTACAGAAAAGTCTTCAACTGGTGTCAAAGATTCCAAGGCGAGACTAACAATTTTGGCATGTGTAAACTTTTCATAATTGTAAAGAATACATGACCTTGAGCACTTGAGTAACAATTTTCCCATTATATATTGTGCAGGTAAAAAGAGCATGGATGACGCAAGCATTATTGAGCAATTCGTTTGAAAATCATTTCATACCCAAGGCTCAGCAACATTTGAATTTGGTTGGTTTACTTGATGATGCCAGAACTGACCTGATTGTAGTATGGCTCATACTTCACTTAAAGTTGTACTGAAAGATACTGTATCCGTATTATTATTTTCTACAAATTGTACGTCCATCATTCAGCCTATAGATATCGGAAGAGTATGCATGCTGAAAAGCAAATATAAAGTAGCATTTTTAAAGTATCTGTTAAATTTCTTGAATAATAGCACGACTATTCAAGAATTTTTGAAATACTTTAGCGAAACATCTGCTGTGTGGAGCATCGCAAGATTGTGGGAGGATGTGTCTTCAGATACTTTAAAGATGTTTGGCATAATTTACGGCAAGCTACTTTAAATCATCATGAGGATGAGGAAAATTATAGCCATGAATTTGAAGGTTTTAGGATATCGCAGACCAAAGGTGAAATTTTCCAGTTAATGAATTGCGATGTTAGTCGGAATTCTCGATACAGCAATTTTTCATTGTGATAACAATATCCAAATCATCAGTCAATTAACGAATGACATAATCTGTAGTATGGTTCTAGACCCTGAAAATGCTGTTACAGATAGTGAAGAAAGTGACAGAGAGGGAATGGAAAAATTTCTATTCACAAGTTAGTCGAAATTCTCGATACAGCAATTACAGGACTTGAACAGTGGAAAATTGTAACTGAGCAAGAAATTATATCTGTCTATAGAAAAAAAGGAGAAAATATTAGCACAAAAAATTAAACAACTTACATTGAAAGAAATGTTTAATAAAGTAAACAAATATTAAGCTTTTTTGTATTCATTATTTCATAAATTAATTTCATATTTTATATTTCATATTTTTAATTTCATATTTTTAATTTTATAATTTCTGCATGCTATCTTATTAAATTTAAACCAATGATCTAATATCTGGAAAAATGCCAAATCCAGTATTACTGAAGTCTCGGATCTTGGACTTTGTACTGTGTATATATTTTATTCTAATAGACATTCTGAAATTTTTAGCTGTAGTATATCTGTTTAATAAAAATCACTTTGTAGATGTTAATTTAAATAAACCATTAGTATAAGAATGTAGCTAATGGTGTTTATTAATTTTTCTCATATGATTTCATGTTATTTTTTTAACAAGTTCTCTATTTTTCCACATGTTACTTTATAACAATAATGATCCTAAACCTGTTAAAATTAGTTGAAATAAATAAATAAATAATAAGTGTAAATAATTTAGTTTCAAACATGTTTTAGTTAATGTGTATGAAAAATTTCTAAAATTCTGATTTTATGAAGCATGTAGAACTATTCTTGAGATTTTGTCAATATAGCTTTTCTTCTAGATTGTGCTAACTTCAACATACTGAAAAATTTACACAAGCTGTTGAGTTCTTGTATTTATCTTTTGTCACGTAGAATGTCAAATGACAACAGGATAAATGTTAAAAATGAAATAAAATATTTTGCTAAAATCACATTTAAAAAAAGTAGGAGCTTTCGCAAATGACGCATCAGCTGGATCACGAAGCAGATGGATCGTTTGTGAAAGCTCTTATTTTAATTTAAGCATGATTTTAGCTTGTTGATTTAAAATATTTTGTTTAATTTTTTTAAATTTTATTTTAACTGTCTGTGCCAATTTATTCTTCTGTTGCGTAGACAGCAATTCTAACAGCATAGGCAGCAATATAACTAAAATACAGTTATTAAGTCTATTGGTCATCAATGAAGTAGTAATGATTATTAGTATGATTCATACAGTGAAAAATGTTATATTCTTTGTTAAAATTTATAACTGTATTGTATCGTATTTCTGATATGGACTAAAACTTCTTGGAGGGAAAATAATAGTATAAGAGGTCTAGTCGTTTTGTTACCAAATGTTTACTGAAAATTTAAGATGTTATAGTTTTCTTATGTGCATTCATATTATATTTTACCAGGTTCTTTATTTTCTTAAGAAGTATTACTGAGTAACAGTAATTTGCTGAATACATTAAAATTTATTTTGTAAAGTAATGGTAATAACGTATGTAAATAATTTAATTTAAAAATATATTTAGTTTATATATGCCAAAAAAATTTTAAGTTGTAATCTTTTTAATGACCTTAAGAGTGTTTCTCAAGCATTTTTCAAATGGGGACCACTTTTATGAATACAAATGTGTCTTGTTCCCCCATCAAAAGCAGTTTTTTAGCATATGTTACTACCAATAGACTTACGTTTTCAAAGTGCAACTAATTAAAATTCATTTAAGTTGTTATTGGTATTTACTTAATAGTAGAAAATTTATGTTCATTTTCAATAATTCAAGCCTATTAGAGCTTGAATAATCTTCATTTTATTAACAAAAAAATAAGTGTTGGTACAGATATTAAGAAGTTAGGTGAGCTTTCCAGTTCTTGCACAATTGCTCTGTGTATGGATGTATGCTGACAAGCCTAAGCTCTGAGATCAGCACATTCATTAAGTTCATTTGGATACTTTGTTTGGGTTAATGATGAAAAACCTTTTCTCACACAGATATGTAGTACCAGTCATGGATCTCTGATTTTTCTGATGTGGGGCAAAAGCTAAAACTGCCGCCCTCACCCATCATCCTTTTAAGTTTCTCTAAAAAGTTTTAATTTCTTTAATAAATACAGAAATTAGTAGCATTTGAGGTAAAAACCTAAGCTCCATTTTGTACTAAATTCTTTACGTGCCCCTTTTTTTTTGCTATAAAGGAAAAATACGTACTGAAATTACATAATTAGAAAATCGTCCCCTCCTAGGAGAATCGCCTTTCTGGTGAGCTTACTTTGATATTCAAGCCTAATCCTAACTCTAATCTGGAGTGCTTCTAACCCTCCTGTCCTCGCCACCATTCGTTT